GGAGTCTATCATGCTAGTAAGAAACACAGCCATCCTGGAAGACTTTTATGGGGTCCCCCTAACCAACTTTTACAGACTGAAGAAGCTGCTTGGACAAGTAGTGAAACGTCTCTACCAAAAAAGAAAAGAAGTCCAGTTGCCATGACTCAACCTCCAGATAATTTCACCTGGATGACTGAGAATCTTCATAAACATAAGTCCCTGAAGTTTTCTTGGCAAGTTTTTTTGGAAGTGGCTTGCCATTGCCTCCTTCCTAGGGCTGAGAGAGAGTGACTGACCCAAGGTCACCCAGCTGGCTTTGTGCCTAAGGTGGGACTAGAACTCACAGTTTCCCAGTTTCTAGCCTGATGCCTTAGACACTACACCAAACTGGCTCCTGTAGTATCACATACCAAATGTTGAGCAAGGCAGGTTTCAGAAGGCTATAGGGGAATGACAAATCCATGAAAATCCCTTCCTTCTTCCTTTGTCATCAGCAGCATTTTTCTCATGGGAAATGCTCATGACTCAGCTCATTTAAAATAAGCACAAAGCAAAGCAAGAGAATTTGGCACAGAAGATGAAATCTCCTTGATCAGCCAGTTCTTGTACCATGCTGGAGGTTCTGGGTCAAGAGAACCATCTTCCCTGGCACTGGGAAAAAATGCAGATAGCTCTAGATAAGCCACCTTAAGGGCATTCTAGCAATAGGATCCCATGGTTGAAGAGTTCCTCTTCTCTCAGAGTGGCAAAATATGTTTAGTGTAACTGGCCCAGGTTTATGACCTACCTGCTGGATTTGGCAATAACTGAAATGTTGAAGAAATCTTAAAGAATAGATCCACAGGCAATGCATTCCAATAGCCTAAGCTAGAGGTCACCAGTGCATGGACAATAGTGTCCAAACGATCTCTGTCCAAGAGAATTTGCAACTAGCAACAATATGTTTTGAATTATTTGTACAGTATTCCTTTTCCTATTTGGAAGAGGTTCTTATGGATCAAGGAAGCTAAGAGGGCTTCCAGGCAAAGTCTTTGTGTAAACATCCCACCTCATTTACAGAGGAGGGGGCAGATGATGATAACTTTCAGTCATTACCAGCTTATGATTTCTTATCACTACTACTTATTTTCTTTCCATAATGACAACATTAAGGAAGAACTGAGAAAATAAACCTGCCAATATTCAGACAGACAGAGCTAGAACTGATCTGTCTGGAAATATCTACCTTTAATAAGCCTTATTTTCCTTCAACTAATTTCCTTTATAAAGTACCCTCACATTGTGGAGATGTTGCAGCTGAGAGTGTGTACTGGTCTCTGTGACCAAAGTGAGCCTTGAACCAGAGACTTTGAGGTATACATTTATCTGTTATCATTAGCTCTATGAGGACCACCATTCTGGATGCCCATCTCTCAGTCTTACCTGGTTCTAACTGCATCATGTCACTTCTCAGTAGTGATTTTAACCAAGTGTCCTAAATCTTTGGTGCCTCCTCAGGGTGTCATACCTCTTGGTGGCTGCATCGTAGAAGCCAAAGAAGAACCCAGCATGCCTTATGCAATGAAAATCTCCCATGAGGACTTCCATGTAAAGTGATTTTTTTCTTTCTTGTTCCACTTAATGTATTTTAATGCTGCAGCAAGTTGCAAATTAGACAGGATGAAATAGATTTCCTAATATAAGCATGCAGTTGAGATACCCAAGCAGCAAAGCAGTCTGATTTCTCTTTGCTAGCTTATTCACTAACAGACTGAGTAACCTGTGATATTTTACATAAGTGCAACTGCCAGCAAAGGGAACTATTAGCTGTGACGTTAGAAGTCCCTGAGATTTTTCATCTGTTTGTAGACCATCACTTTAAATTGGTTAATTTTCACTACCTCTTTCCAGGAATCTCTGAAAATTGTTGTTCTTGCAACATTTACTATTCCCAGGATTCCTTTGGGGAAGTCATGAAAGTAAAACTGATAGATGTATTTCCAGTCTTCTTTTTGTAATAGAAGTAGTTGCTTGTTTTCCACTTTGATGAACTGTGCTTACATTGCCAGCTTCTCTTGAAAGACATGGTGATGTTTATGTTTTTTGTTTCTGGGGTTTTTTTGTTTTGTTTTGTTTTAGGGCAACATTGTGCTAGCAGCAGAATCAGAATATGAGCAAGCCCGGTGGTTGGAGATGCTTCAGGAGTCTGGAAAAGTGTAAGTGTGGATGCAATCACTCCATTTTGCTTGTCTTGATTTTGAAATGCATTCAAGCCACCATTATTTCCAGTCTGGAGCTCTCATAACCAAAAGGCATCGTGTGGTATGGTGGTTTGGATGTTTCTTCCTTTAGCAGTGTTTTTCTAGAAAGACAACTGTCAGGATAGAGGGAAAATGGGAGGATTATAAATGGAGAATGACAACATGAAGGAAAAACCAAGGTTCAGGGCAAGCCTTACCTGGAAGTGCTCTTTGATTTTGCAAATATTTTGCTTAATATCAACAGTTTAATCCCATAAGGATTAGAACCCTGGAAGAATTCACCATGGAGTACTTCCAGTAAGCCCTGCTCTTACTGACGCCACTTATTTTTCCTGCTCTCTCAGGATACCCATGGGTGCAGCACATTATTTATCACTGCTGTTGTTATTGTTGTTGTTGCTATTATTAATTAAATGTATAAGGCTGCCCAACTCTGGGTGGCACATAAGCACTTTTAGACATATGCTTTATTCTCCCAACAAAATCAACAGAATGCTACTGTGTATAGATTGCCTGGGACTGTGGCCTTGATTTTAAGAAAGTGGTTGGATCCTACAAGTGTCCAACTTGGTAAATGCTTAATGAATAGATGATATTCACATTGCTCTGAGTAGAACCAATAGTTTTATGATTGTTTAATTTTAGAAGCTAATCCCTGACGGATATGTTACAAGATCCATAAACAAAACAAGAGTCTTGTGGTACCTTAAAGACATATTCATTATAGCATAAGCTTTCATATATTACAGTTCACTTCATCAGATGATAGAAGTCACACACGCAAATGTAAGGAGAGATGATACTGGATCTCCCAACCACCCTCTTTCCAATCCCCCACTTCCCAATGTGGGTGTGGGTTTCTTTACATTCTTTCTCTCTTCCTTCTTTTCTGGGATGATACTTCATGCATTTAGTAGGCCAGTAGGGATGTGTCTAATTTTAAAATTCCACAAGAGCATTTCCTGAATAACTTATAGTATCTTCTAGTATCATCCAGTCGTTGTTGAGGTGTTATATATCCTGTTTTTGTTACTGTAATTTTGGCACAAAGACAGCTGGAGAACTCTAAGAAACTTTCCCACTGCTGATCTGAGATGCTCTCCACCATCTTTGAGTTGGCAGAAAATTTGCTGCCTCCGTTCCCAAAGTCTGAATTTCTGTAGTCATTTGACTTCCCCCAAGGTGGCAAGATGACCCTTGGATGGTATTAGAATGAAGGGGGGAAAAACAGTTTTACACAGGCACAGTCAGGATCACTTCAGCAGTCATGGGCTGGCAACATCATGGGGATGTGGGAGAAAAAGGAAGTTGCCAGGACATTGTACTATGGCTACAATAGGCATTAGTGATTAAAGGCCCAGAGCTGGTAGCCATTCAATGGCTAACAAGAAGCTGCAAAGAGAGAGGATGCTTTCAGAGTCCTTTAATAGTCATCTAAGCCACTTCAGATTGGGGTCTTGCTTCAGACCAGTAGTTTAGAGTCAGCTGTAAAGATTTTATTCCATTGAGGCTCACAGGGAACAATTAAAAAACAGTTTCTTCATCCCACGGGGATTATTCTGTCTCCTGTCATCTCAGGCCCTGACCCCACTTGCATTTAATCAAGACAAAATCATGCTATAAGAATTTCCCTCCTTGCCCCTACAGTGTTGCCTTTATCCTTACCTTATTCCCAGCCCATGGGAGGAGACAGGCTGATGGATGTCATTCTTGGCTGGATTGGCATAAAAATATTATCTTTTGCATTATTTCAACACAATCCAATTACAGTCTCCAGATGTGTCAAATCTGTTATACTTTATCACCCAACCTCTTAGAGGCAAAGTCAGTTGACCTTTATGGGCGTACCTCTTCTGACCAATAACCAACCTTCATTTCATATATTACTCTCTGTGTCTCTGCCCTCTCTATTAACACTTCATTTCCCCAGTTCTTTTCAAATCTGTCACCTCCCTAGTCCTCTCTGTTTCTCATGTCACCTTCTCTTTAGGCTTCCAACAAATAGAGGGAGGAGGACAGAACTCTACCATTTCAGCTGAGGAACACAAGGTGGTGGGTTTGTGACTGTTTGCTATTTTCCCTGTATTTGTTAATTTCAATATTTCCCTTCCCACAATCTTCCAAGTAAGAGAGCAAGTTGCCCATGGGCCAGTTTCAATTCTTCTAGAGAACCTAGCTGGTTGTACAGTTATGACAGAGTTTCCCTCCGCTCTGGAGTTCCATCAGCCCTTGTGTCTTCCAACAGTTTTTTAAAAAATTTTCCATTATTTTAAATTTAGGAAATGTGCAAATATGATGTAAAAAGAAGATCAGACTAACCAGCCTAGAGAAGTTAGGCCAGTGATGGTGAACCTTCTGGGCTCGGCATGTCAAAAAATTCGGGAAATGCCTAACTTGACTCTGCTGGTGTGTCACCACCCTCACCCCCACCCCTGAACAAAAGAGAAACAATTCTTTACATTTTTTTTTTTTAAAAGCAGTCCAATCATGTGTAGTGCTATGTATTATATAAAGAAACATCAAATGATTGCAAAAATGAAATACGAGTAAAACAAACTCAGTGTCTTTGGTAATTCAGACAGGGAGAATAGTTGTTATCAGGTGTTGATGAATCCTGGCAGGTCACCCAAAATGTTGTGAGGTGTCACCTTCGGCACGTGTGTCATAGGTTCACCATCACTGAGTAGGCAGAGCCCTGAAGTGAAGGTCTTCTCGTTTCTGATCAGTGATGTTTTCCCTGCTGGCTTCTGCTGAAAGTGGGTGGCAGAAGTCCTAAGGGGCAAGCCAAGGAGTGGCATACATGCAGATCTGAACGACCCAATTCAGCAACAATGCAGTGTAGGTTCAGTTAAGGCAGGAGAAGGGTTGGTAATGGGGACTGGGGACAGCAAAGGCTATGCTGGCATTGTCTTGTGGTGGCTCAAGGATGACTAAATATCATTTTAACTCAGCAGTGGGAAAAGGCTCCTAGAAAAGAAACGCCATTCTGAAGAGAAACTGTGGGATGGAGTCTACACTGGCTTCTTTCCCTAATATGTTACATCAGACATCTAGACAGCCACAAAAAATGCACTTCCTAGATCCCATGGAATGCAATGGGATTGACTTCTGGGTGAATGTGTCCCAGCTGATGGCTTATCTCTGCCCGTCTGAAATGTCATCTTTGACTCAAGCTTATTGTCTTGGTTATGAGCCTTTCTCCACTTGGCTCTACCTACGGCACAAGCATGCCCTGGCGACATCTTTTTTCTGCCATGTCCCTCTGACCTTGCCTTCGTGTCATCCCCAGCCCATGCGTGAGACAGGCCAAAGTCATCCTCATCTGTGCCTGTACTAAAATAGTATTCCCCCTCCCCCACTTCTGCTACCATCCAACTGCAGCCTCACAGTATATAAAATTCATTAGGCTTTATCACCATTATTTTGGAAGGAAATTAGGTGCCTAGCACTGTGGGAACAGAGGCAGGGTAGGGATCAGCAATGGGGACAGTCAATTTTGTTCTTGAATGGTTTTCTGTCACCTCAGGGATGGGGTGATGACACTTCATTTCAACAGTGGGAAAAGCCGCATGCAAAATGGATGAGCAAATCTGGCTTTAACAAGCTGGAAGAGAGTCAGCAGGACCTGTTCAGTTCAAAGGCTCTTGACTTGCTTCTCTCATCTACCTTCAGATAAAAATGGAGAATGTAATTTAAAAGGGGATTATTGTAACCGGGGTGAGTGGAATTGGTGATCCCATCAAAAAGGCAGTGCACTGTGAATGGCCCCAAATAGTCAACCAATGGGCTATTGTTAAAATAACTTTGAATTCCTTGCTGATGGAAAGCTTATGAAGCACTGAGGGTCAGGCTACCCACTAATCTAATCACATATTTCTGCCATTATGTGCAGTGTCCTTCTTCCCAAATTGCCAGCTTTGCACAGAGAAAGCAATCCAGACTGGTCTCCTAATGTGGGAGGTTAAGAGGGGAGCTCTCACCTTTTGGCCCTGCTACAGTATTAGTTTTGCCACTTGCATTGCCCTTCATTTCAACAGGAACTTTTGGGGATAAGGCTAATTTACATTTAGAAGGGCTTAAATGGAGAGTACCAGAGTGAGCAATGGATTGTGGTCTCTTACCCTTCCCTCCTCCCCCAATGCTTATGTTGGTGACAAACAAGGATAGAGTTTCACAATTCACATAGCTTGGCCCCAGACATTATCAACCTTCTCAACTACAACAGGATCCTCAGTTCCTTATTAGCTCCCAGCCTGGGTTTTTGATTCTCAGCATTTACAAATTCTTGGGAGGCCTGGATGATCTGATGTGGCTCATTCTCTCAATCACTACCTGAGTTCATCTGAGTGTCTATTCCAGTCCTCTTCTTTGCTGCTTTTACATTACTACCTATCTGCCCTTGATGGCCACTCTGTTTCCACTCCATCTCTTGATGCAATAGTACCTCACCCCTAAAAATATAATTGTAAATGATACCATTCAAGTCCATCCGGTTTCTGGTTTTTAGCCTACTGCCAGGTGGATATCTGCATTTAAGCCTACTTAGGAACTCTAAAGACAAAGGCTAGCATGAAATTACACAGTATCGCAACTATCTTCTTCATAACTTGCTCTGTCCTGCTCATCTCCCACCATCTTCTCCCACCTGTGCTTCAAGGCAAAAGCATTGAAGAACATCTTTACTGCCTGGAACAACTTAAAATAGCTCTGAAGACTTGCTTCAGCAGTCATGCAATTGTTTGGTTAAGGAAGGTAGGTTGACAGTGAAGGTCAAGAACATTCTGAAAAATGTGGCTTCAGTAGGATTGCGGAAGCAAACTAGCCATCTGTGACAGAGCTGTGCAGCAAGCAGATCTATCTCCTTTTTTATTGCACTTTCAACCTGGGGAGAGAGCAGAATAGGGGTTAATGTAATATCTCTCACCCACTCACACAACTGCGCAAAGACATACCAGCCAGTTATATCCCAATGCAGTAATCATTTGGGAGTTCTTCCAACACTCATTGTAAGGGAAAAAAATCCATCTTGAGCTGCCACACCTGCCTGCAACATAAATATGAGGTCTGTAGCCATCTGAGGTGAAGCCTGCTCTAAATCCTCAGTGTCCTGATCCATATGTACTTTGGGATTCCCAAATCCCATTTTGCAGACTTGCAAGAAATGGAAGCAATTTGCACTGCAATATTGAATATTTACATTGTTAAACATCTAGCAAACAAGAGGGTGCCAGTGAAACATTATGAGAATTGTGGTTTGTGACGTGCTGTGTGGGTTTGAAGCTACAGATAACAAGAGGTAGAGTCTGGGCCAATAGAGAAAGAGAAAATTAAAGTTATGCTATGAATTACTTAGGCACCATGTTGTTATGGCCCTTTAATTCTTTGGAGGGAAATTAGTTCCATGTTCCTTCATAGTGCTGGTAACTTATTTTCATTTTCTCCCACTTTATAAGTTCAACTTAACAGCACAAAAGGAAGGCAAGATTGCCAGCTGTTTTCAACATTATTTTTCTTTGTCTTTGAGGGAAAAATGAAAGAAGGACTTTCACCCCTTGTTTGACACCTGAGAAAGGAGGAAAGAGTAAAGAAGGTTGTTTTCATTCTTTGATGTCTTTTTCTCTTCCCTTTTTTAAAGGACCTGGAGAAATGCTCAGCTGGGTGAAGCCATGATTGAGAGCCTTGAAGCTCAGGGACTCCAACTGGCCAAAGAGAAACAGGAGTATTTAGGTTGGAACTCACAGCAGCATATATTTAAAGATTATTATCATTTGTATACGAATGTATTAAATGGGGCAGTGCAGTGCTTCAGATGCAAAGCCAAAAAGGTACTTCACGGGGCCCAGAGATTTCCTCACAGATTTTTTCCTGGAATCGCTCTCCAGTTAGAGAGCAGTCATGCAGTCCCAGGACAGGACTTCAGGGGGCTGCGGATAGGCGCCATGTGGGCACTCCCTTATAATTTAAGAACTTTTTTTCCTTTGAATCTGAAATGCTTCACAGCCCTACTATGAAGCCTCTTGTTTCACATTCACTGCTTCCCATTGTGCAGCCTGTGTTGGACATATAAGCTTCTACCCAGCTGGTAGCTGATAGAATAGGAACGTGCCAGAGTCTTGAGAACTGCTTTGGAATCTTCTTCATGTTTAGAAAATGGTCTTGATAGAGAAGGCTTTTTCAGGGGTGCCCCCCCCACAACCCTGGGAAGCTCTCAGAAAGGAACCCTCCCTCTCCTACATGACAGTCTCTTCAGGGCCTGGCCAGGATTACTCTGTACTTCCAAGCTTTTTCACATCTGCATCATACAATCCCTACGGTTTTGTTAATTCCTGTTCTTGTCAGCTATTTTTAACCTTTGTATTCACTGCTGGTGTAAGTCTGGTGGACTAGTTATCTCTGCTGATCTTTCATTGTGTTTTTTATGCCAAGTGGGCAATGAGGATGATGTGCATTTGGAGACTCCTAACCTCCCCATGTGAATTAGGAAGATTTGCCAAGAGAGATAACTGCATTAGGTTGAGTCCTCCATAGCATAATTATGCCCCTCCCCAGCGCAAGCAGGGTTCCTGATCCTATTCAAGTGCTGTAACTCTGTTCCAGTTGTTGGTCTTCACTATACAGCAGTCTCCCCTAACCTGGCCTCACATGCTGGCTCTAAATCCTGGAAGCTGCTGTTCTAACACTGGAGCACTGGAAGGCTGGTGCAGCCCCCCCCCCCCCAACAACTTGGAGGAACTGGAAATGAGAGGACCACATATCTGAAGTGAAGTTCAAAATATGAGACGTGCACCACTTTAAAAAGTTAAGTCTACTCCAAGCATAGACACCCTGATGCCCTCCAGAAGTTTTGTACTAAAACTTCCAACAGCTCCAGCCATAATGGCCAGCCATAAGGATGATGGGAGTTGTAGTTAAAAATCTCTGAAGGAAAATTAGATTTTAACATCTTGGTGAGTTCATACAGCAATCTTTTATAGCTGCTGAGAGGGATTGGCTTTGTTTGTATATCTTTAAGCTGGTATAAGTAATAACCTTAATTAAGCAGCATGATCTACTAAGTAAGGAGGCCAAACGAAAGGAGGACAAAGTTAATGAGAACCTCAGGGATGCAGATTGTTTCCAGAGTCTAAGACAGGCTCCTATTTTCAACTAAAGCCTTCCTATGAAGAAAAAAAAGAGAGAACTTTTGTAGGAGAAAGCAATTAGAAGGTTGTACCAATCAATATTTCCCTATATGTATCTCTCCCTTTGCCCCACATATTTTCTTGCATCTGGACTCCAAGCACAGTGATGTTCTTCATACAGAATTTATAGAAAAGAATCTGGTGGGTAGAATGTTAGCCAAATCCTTTGACACCCACATTATTGCTAGGAACACTATATATTGTTTTAATGAATATTTTATCCTATATTTTCCAACCAAATTATAACCTCTTAATAAGTTTAAGGCTTCTCCACTGCTTTACCATTGGCCTCGTCTAGCATGTACCCTGTTGCTTTTCTCTCATCTGTTAAATAAAGATGATGATGCTGGTGAATTGTAAAATGTAGCATATTAGGTGATACCTAAAACTCTGCAGGGGAAATCACTAGTAGCAGGGCAAGCTATTGTTTGTTGTCATTTTTATGGAGGCAACTAAAAGAGACAAGTTCACTGAACCTATTTCATAAGATTCAAATCAACACATTATGCTACACAAGAAGCAAAGTTGCATTTTTCAAGATCCATGTAACCTGTGTCCGATAATTTTCAATTATCCCTTCCATGGTGATAGCTTTCATTTTTCTTTGTCTATTTGCAGATAAATTGATGGAAGAGACAGAGGAGCTATGCCTACAGAGGGAGCAGAGAGAGGCTTGTTCTCATTTTAATTATTTAACTTACATACTGAAATATCTATCATCTATCCATCTCAATAGTTTCACTGAATTACAGTGCAGTTAGACTCTGCTTGCTTTTTCCATTTCTAAAGCTTACTGCAGACTTAAGATAGCTTTCCCCCAACCTGTTGCCCTCCAAAGCTGTTGGACTATAATTCCCATTACCCATTAATATGCTGGTTGGGCATCATGGGACTTCTCATTAGACTATTTACCAGTCAACATATTATTTGCCAGTCAACTGAAATAACATGATGTCTCTATGTTTGTAAGACTAGGGTTTTTTCCTCATGTTCTCCAAATTAGAGTACTAACATACATTGGTAACTACTTTTCCCTGCATTGTCTTCTTAATGTTGCCTTTGTTTCATCCAGAGGTATTACTTCACTGTTTTGGTCTGGTTTCTGCAAGTACTGTAGGTTACTAACAGTATGAGCCTGACAATGTTTAACAGTCATGATGGAGGAAGTGAGACTGGGGAAAGACAGTCTCAACATGCACCAATTCCATGAAGGGCAACATTTCTAGTTCTTCATGAAAGCAACACCTTGGTGAACCCTTGATGCTGAGACCTTGTGATAAAACAAGAGTGATTCCTTTCCCACTCTAAAATATGGCTTCAGCTGTCATTCAAAAGAAACTGGAAGCATACCTTTCTGCTGCTCCACTGTCTTCCTTCTACGTTTCACAGAACAGATGCATGTCAGAACTGGTCTTTTGCTAAGTATCTTGAGTGCAGGGTGGGGAGAGCAATCAGAATTATAAGAACAACTGTGGGAAGGGAGAAGGGGCAGTTCAGGCCTGCAGTATAGAGAATAAGGAAGGCGATCTTGAGGGAGATAGGTAGGAACAGTTGCCTAGGCAAAAGGCACTGAAACTTTTTTTTTAAGTCCAGAGAAATGAAATAATATCTGGAAGTGCCTCAGGCAGATGCCACCCTGATTCGCTGGAGTGTAAGAAGGGGGAGGAGATACAGCACAATCAGACTTGCAAGATTCTGCTTATATTACATTATATACAATCTCAGTAAAAGTAGTTTTAGCCTTCCTATGGAGTTGATTTCGTGGTCTGGCCACCTAGTGGGGCTGACATGCAGAAACCATGCAGAAGAGAAAAGTTGGGTGGGGAAGTCTAAGTGCCAAGGGTGGGGGAGGATATGGGTGGGGGAGGATATAGGTATTCCCAATTCTTGAGCATCCTGCAATCCTACCTATGCTTTCCTGGAAGTAAATCCTATAGTATCTCATAGGTCCCTTCTCCTGAGGAGACCTAAACATGTTGGAATTATCATTGGAATCAGTTATTGCCTAATTTAGATAATAACCCAAGTTTTATCATCAGATCATAGATGAGGCAACTTAAAGTTGTCTTTTGCTGTTCCAGTTTCAAAGTAGTATTTTCCCTCTTTTCCTGATACAGTTTGGCCATGAATAAAATCCAGCTTGCTTCACCGATGATGTGGTTGCTGACATAGCCTGCTTCCAGTGGCTGGGAACTGTCCTCCATGGTCATTTTGGCTGTGGTTGCAGGACAGACTGGACATTTCGCTTCTGTAGAAGCATCTGCCAGTGTAATGCCTGTCGGGTGCTTCTGAAGAACACTAGATTTGTTATTTTTAAGCTTGAGTTTATCACTCCTAGTAAAAGTACTAGTCCCACGTTGCATAGAAGCTCAATTTGGATGAGAAAAGAGAGCCAGGTTCTGCCAGTTGCTAGTTCTGTCACCACCGCAGGATAGTTGGTTCTAAGCTATTTGTGCAACTACCTGGCTAAGATGGAGCAACCCAGGTCCACTGCACCATCAGTATTTGGTTAGCCAGGCACTTCTCGATGGTCATCAATGTAGAGGAAGTGGCATATCTTGGCACAGTTTGGGATGCCAGTCTAGCCCCTGCTGCAATTATGGCAGCAGCTCTGATGACCACCAGCACTACCTTCTTCTGCCTCCTCCATTTTCTCCTCCTATGGGTCTCCTTCAGCAGCACAACCATCTGAACAGGTTGCTGTCTAATTCAGACATTGGGTATATTACAATTTTTCTGCTGCTTAATCAGACAAGAAGTTTCATGTGGTTGTACTTTGACTGCTTTTATTAGTTGCGGGGGAGGGGGGGACACCAGCCATGAAATTGGCACTGTACTTCTTGGTCTCTCCCTACCATCACTGCCATTGTCTTTTATTCTACTCAAGGAGGATAGAACTTGCTTGCTATTGTTGGCTTCTTCACCCCATGCTTCTCCTCCATCCCTGTGTCCTGTCAGCTGCCTATTTTTGAACATGGCTTCAGTATTCCTTCTGAGCACCTAGGCCCATTTTTGAACATGGCTTCAGTATTCCTTCTGAGCACTTAGGCCCATGTTCAGAAATAGCCCAGCTGATAGGTCACAGGTTTGGAGGAGAAGTTGTACTGGGCAGGATCATTGGGAGTGCTCCCTCATGCTTTACCCCATGTACCTCTCCATGCCCACTACCTGACACACAGATAATCCCACCAGGTTGTTAACAGTGGGAGCCCAGGAGGCAGGTGGTAGGGGAAGGCAGTCCTGGAACAGGAGGACAGGCTGCTCTTTGAAGCTCAAGGCAGCCACTGCTTTGAAATAGCAATTTCCTCTTTGAGGATCAAACAGCTACATCTGATCACAGACTTAATCCCTAGTGATTATGCTGTGTGATGGGAGAGTCATGTCATTCCAATGCTGAGAGTGCACTGTTATCTGTTTAATTTCTTAGCTTATTTTTTCTCTTAGGACTGAGCTCTGTTAGACGTGGTTGCATAACTTTGAAGTAGATGCTGTCTTTCCTGTCCCGCCGCACTCTTGTGTTTTAGAAAAGTTCCCAGTATTTGTTTAAAAAGCAAAATGCGAAGAAACAAGGTGCATATGCGCAGACCCACAAAACTGATTAGTGTCAATAGTTATGTTACCTTTATTACATAGCTATGTAAATATTCAAATATTAACTAGAAAAGCAAACTTTGCAGTCCTTTGAATTCTACATTTATTGTCTTTTTCTTAAGGCTCTGGAGCATCTCAACCGAGTATTGGAGGCAGAAAAGCAGCAGTTTGAAGAGGTAGTACAAGACCTTCGAGTGGAACAGGAGCAGATTAAACGGTAATCCTCTTAGCTATCAAGAGAACCAAATAACAGCTGAACCTAATGGTAATAAACTTTAAATAATGCTGACTAGGCTGTGAGCCAAATCTACACACCTTGAGTTGTGAGTTGGCTGAGATAATATTTTCCACATTTGATACAAAATTACATTTTGAGGGAGTGCCATCTTCAGGAGAAATCAGTTCTTTTTGGACATTTCCACACTACCAACATTTCATCCTCCCTCCCTCATTCCATACCATCATTTAAAACTCAACCTTAATCATCTTTACTTCTTCTGACCTCAAAACATCATGAACCAATGAGAGCTTACCCTCTGTCACGCCAGCTGACTAATGGGAGAGTGCATGATACTTGTCTGCACGTTGCTGCTGCAATCACTGGATGGGTAAGTTCTAAACATGCAGGAATAGGATGCTGAAACTCTATGGAGGAAAGGGGTATAGAAATGGCTTGCCTGAGCCTAAATCCAGGACATGGAATGAGATGACAATTCCTGCCAGTGGGAAAGTTCCTGCCTACAAGAG